ATTGGGAATCCCCAGAGCTACCCGGGAGGGAATTTGAAGTGTCACAGAATGGACAGGAAGCAGCCAGAGAAATATTTCAAAATAGTATTCCTAGAGGTCCCCTCCAATCCAGCCCCTGGTGGCCTGGGAAACTGTAGAGTTAGTGTATGACCTTGAGCCATCATGCATCTTTTATCATTTTTCAAGTATTCTGTTTATTTGTGATACTGTGGAATATATACTCAGTCTTTGTCCCCATTTTCTGACATATGATTCCTAAAACCCTTGGAATTTCCAAAGTGAGGAGAGTGTCTTGTATGCTAAAAAGATGACTGGTGGCTGGCATCCCCTGGTAGCTTCAGGATGGGCGCTAGTCACAGAAAGTCCCTTTGGTTGGGACTTTCATTCTGACTCCCAACCTCTAGGGAGGGGACAGGGGCTGAAGATTAAGTTGATCACAATGGCCAACGATTTACACGACAAAGCCTCTGTAAAATAGGTTCCTGGAGGATGGGGCACCTGGAGAGGGAGTGGGAGCTCCACGCCCCGCGCCCCCCACCTCGCCCAATGCATCTCTTCCATGTATGTGGCTGTTCATCCTTTATAATGAAAGGATGAATGTAAGTAAAGTGTTTCCCTGAGTTCTGTGAGCCACTCTAGCAAATTAATCGAACCCAAGGAGGGGTCACGGGAGCCCCGATTTATAGCTGGTCGGTCAGAAGCAGGCGTAAAACAACAGGAGGCTTGCAACTGGCACCTGAAGTGGGGGGCAGTCCTGTGGGACTAAACCCTCAACCTGTGGGATCCGACACTGTCTACAGGTAGGCCGTGTCACCATAGAACTGAATTAGAGGACAGCCAGCTGCTGTCCGCTGCAGAACCGATTGCTTCATATGTGGGGAAGAACTTCCACATGTGTGCTGGTCAGAGAAACACTCCGTTTTCTGTGGTGGTGAGTAGAGAACGGGAAAGACACACCCGGGTGTCTCCTCTGTGTCTAAGAGGTACAGACCGAGAAGCAGGATCTGGACTTCATGGCATTATGTCCTCCCTCGTCGCCAGCACACGCTGGGGTGATGACAGTCCCTCAAAACATAGGCTGGTCGCAGGAATGTATTCATGGAAGGGTGGGCGGAAGGGAGGAGGGATGGATGGACGGAAGGATGGAAGGAATGCCGTCCTGGAAGCCAGCGCTGGTGGTCCTCCGTTTCTGATCATTATTTGCACTTGCCTTCCTCCCCACCCCTCTCTTTTCCTTCTTGAATACATTTTTGGCTCCTTTTGTTTTCATCACCCTTATCTGTCTTTATTGTGAGCTTCCTTCTCATAGTTTCACTCTCTTGAGATCAGAATGAAAAGCTGGGTACAGTTTTTCCATTAACTAATTCATTAATTAGTTGAGTCAATAGCTGTTTATTGAGCTCCAGCTGTTCCTCCGTCCACCCGGACAGTCACTCGACGAGAGGTGTACTGACACTGGTGGTGCGGCTGATGTGGTGCGGGGGCTGACTGGTGGGGAAGCAGAACGACCTCAGCAAGACCCCTGCTGTCCGGGGTCCAGCGACCCGAGACAAAGGGGATGGAGACCAGCAACACGGAGCTCTGCAGACCCGCTGCTCCCACCCTGCGCAGCTGGCCGCACTCAGGTTGTGAAGGTCAGCCTGCCCCCGGGCCCGTGGTTTTTTGCCTCTTGCCCTTAGTGCATTGGTCTAACACAGCACCCGCAGTGGCCACATAATTAATGTGGCCTTACAGTGGTGGCCAGGCCCTCCCTCCCCACTACCTCCCTTCACTCTGCTCCTTGTCCCATCCTCAGTCCTACCCGCTTCGTCCTCAGTGGGAACCCTCAGATCTCAGAATCAGAAGAGATCTTGGAGTGCTTCTGGTACTTCGATGCCCAGCACAGGAACCCCACCCACAGGCTCCCCCAGGCTGTCTCTCACTGTGGCCCCCACCTCCAGCAGCAGCCTGCTGTCTCTGCCTCGTGAACCTCCTAGCCCAGCTCCACAGAAGCAGCTTCATATGCTGAGCTCAAGAGCACCCACTTTGTCCAGACCGCAGAAGTTGGAGCTCAGGATAATCCGGATGTATCTTTTGAGCTGCAGCCTTTCAGACTTTGGAATTATGGCTATTATGTTCCTTTTCAGGATTCTCTTCTTGAGGATAAATATTTCCAGTGTCTCAACTTTTCCAAATTTTAATCTGACCTCTGACAACCCTGGGCAGCCTCTAGTTTTCCTAGAGGCCCCTCGAATGTAGCATCACCACAAAATTGACTGCTACAAAGAGGACTGCCCAGCAATTGAGGCTGGATGAGTTATTTACTGGTTTTAAGTGACCACTATATTCCTACTTTTGCACCCTAAGTTATCATTAACTGCTATTACGTACTATTGGCTCTTATTGAATTTGTAGCCAACTAAAACTACAAAGTCTTCTTGACATGGATAAAACAAGATAGAGTTCTATGTTAAGGTTAAAATAAACCACAAGGATCGTCTAGTTGTCCAATCTACTAATTTGATAGGAAAGGAAACTGAGGCCCAAAGAAGTTAAGGGGCTGTGCAAAGGCTCTCAGCTCGTGTAGACGTAGGGGTATGGCAGGAGGAGATGCCTAACTCTTGATCTGGTGCTCTTTCTGCCACCTCGGGCTGCCTCCCGATCGCAGCCATTTCAGAGAAGTAAAATGTGTCTTTCACTTTCAAGTCAGTATTTCTCATTTGATATTTTATGTGAGTGGATTTTTGAACCCAATACATGACCCTGGGTTTAGCCCTTTTGGATTTCACCTTATTCATTTCATTTCAATCTGTCGAGATAATTTCCAGCCTGGATTTTGCGAGGCACTTCTGTGGCAGGTCCTCCCAGTCTTGTGTCAGGCTGACGTATGGAACTTTCTCGAGCTCGGGGTGCTTTTCATGCCGTTCTCTGTGCCAGCCTGTTCCACTGCAAGTCTGGCAGGGAAGACACAGCGCCTGGAGCCAGACTCAGCACGTACTTGCTTCACCCCCTCCCTCTGCTTCGCTGTCGCCCTCCTTGTGAGTCTCTCTCCTCCCACCGCCTCCGTCCAGCTTTCTAGTAGCCTCACAAATCCACCTCAGACTCTTTCCCTAGAATGGAATTTGGGGGCAAATATGACCACAGGCAGGATTTTGTTTTATTTTGTGAAATGGAATTTCCTGGGAGTCTACGTGTTATAATGAAAAAAACCTCGAACCAAGTGCACCTGGACAGTTGTTACTATCCCTTCATGGACTCACATTATTTCTCTCTCCTCAATTTTTCCATCTGTGTAATGGGAAGAGATGGAAGCTCACACCTAGTGGCATCTGCACTCTGCTAGCAGCTATGGTAGGGGCTTCGTTTACATTTGCCCTTTCATTTCATTTCATTGTCATTGTCACCAAAAGCCTGCATAGCAGATGACATCCCCATTTCACGGAAAAGAAAACTGACCGCAGAGGAGTTAATTTGCCAAGTCTTATCCAGCTAGCAAGTGGCAGAGTTTCTTTACCCTCTGTCATCACTTGCTGAGTTATTATAAAAATCAAATAATTTTAGTAAGGATATAAAGCTGCTTAGAAAATCGAAAGCACTCTGTAAATATAAGGGAGTATTGTCAAAATACTGAGGATCCTCACGTGCTCTCTCTCCCTCTCCTTTTCTGTCACCTCTCTAAAGTATAAGCAGCTGCCTTTGGTCTAGACCTATCAAAGAAATGTCATACAACTATTTTTCAAAATGTCAAATGCCTGTGTACTTTAGCCCAAAGTAATTAAGCCCTTTTATTTTCTCCAAGTCACAATGCAGAACCCTGGGAGCTTCCAGAATGTGCCCTTTCTCCTCCATCCTGAACTAATGGAAATCAAGACTGAAGGCTGAGCATGCTGGGGAGTCCACGAGAGCCCTTCAGAGCCACAGAGGCCTGGCCTGACTCTGGCAGGTCTCCAGCAGTGACCACAGAGCGCTAAATAATAACAGGGTTGAATTATTTATACAGGGGCCAATGACTCATGATGGCACGGTCCACTTCTAGCAGCATACCAGGGTCCCAAGGTCTAAGGTGAGTGGGTGAGAGAGGGAGGGCTGCAGTCCTGGTCTCTAGACTGCCAGTGTATCACGACTGGGGACAATCATGTCACCCCAGACACAGCAAGCAGAGTGAGAGCACTGTGACTAGAGGACAACTAACATTTCTGTGACATTATTGGATATTTACATTGAGCAAGATATTTGTGCATATGTTTTCCCATTTCATCTCTAAAATCACCTTTATTTTCCCTATTTTTCCCAATAAAGAAATTGAGGCTTATGTTCCAGGTTACACAGTTGGCAAAGGGCAGAGCTGGAATGAAAGCCCAGGTCTGACATTTCAAGGGTACCATGTGTGCTTTCTCTTAGAAATTCTCTTCCCTGACAACTGTATTTAAATGAATAATCTGGGAAGTGTAGATGGTGCCAAGCACAGTTGGGGAGCAATGGATTCTTTTTTTTTGTTTGTTTTTGTTTGGTTGGTTTTTTTGTTTTTGAGACAGAGTCTTGCTTTGTTGCCCAGGCTAGAGTAAGTGCTGTGGCATCAGCCTAGCTCACAGCAACCTCAAACTCCTGGGCTCAAGCAATCCTTCTGCCTCAGCCTCCCAAGTAGCTGGGACTACAGGCATGCGCCACCATGCCCAGCTAATTTTTTCTCTATATATTAGTTGGCCAATTAATTTATTTCTGTTTATAGTAGAGACGGGGTCTCGCTCTTGCTCAGGCTGGTTTCGAACTCTTGACCTCGAGCAATCCGCCCACCTTGGCCTCCCAGAGTGCTAGGATTACAGGCATGAGCCACCATGCCTGGCCACAATGGATTCTTAGTATGGTCTTTAGGGCCCTCCATGATCTGGTCCCATTCTAGATTTTTCTTAGCAGACACAATGCTTTCCATCATCAGAATCACCCGGAAGCTTTAAAATACAGATTTTATTATTCTATTAATTGGTGCAGGGACCCAGGGAATCTGTATTTTTAAGCCTCCCTAGTGATTGTGATGGTCAGTCAGTTTGAAAACCATTGTCTTATGTGAACTTTCTCTTTAGTCCTGTTCCAAATTACCATCTATATTTCCATTTCTGCAACTTTGCTCAATTCCATGGACTACACTTAGATTGGCCTTTTTTCTATTTCCACCCATTATTTTCAACCCAGTTCACACTCCATCACCTCATCACTTCTATAAGGATCTTGGCCACCACGGCTTCCAGGAATGCCCTGTCCACTGTATTCCATTAATATCTTTGGCTCTCAACTGACACATATATCATATATGTTAGTTAGGATGTGACTTTAAAAGTTGTAAGAGAGTCCCAATAATAGCTTTGCCTCATTTAACACCTAGGAATATATTTATGTCTTCTCTAACAGTATAGAAATAATTAGTCCAGTGGTAGCTCCAAGGCATGGGGGCCCAGGCTCCTGCTATCTTGTTGCTCATCTCTAGAGTAGTGCCTTTGTTTACATGGTACAAGACAGTTCATCACCATGTCCACATTCCAGCCAGTGGGAAAAGGGAAAATGGGGTAAGGTAGAGCCATGACCAGGAATTGCACAGAAAAATTCTGATCACATTCCACTGTCCAGAACTTGATCACATGGCCACACTTAGCTGCAACCAAGGTTGAGAGATTTACTTTATTCTGCATCACTATATGCCTAGTTAAAATCAAAGGTTCTATTAATTGTACTAGTGGGAGGGAAGAATGAATATTGGGGAATAACCTAGCAGGTTCAAATTCTACTTGGGGTTGTAATTTTCTGTTTGTGTCTGTGTTTCCAGCTAGACTGTAAAATCTCCATGAGAATTAGGCCCATGACCTATCCCTGCTTATGACGCTTATAGGTGTCTAACATAAGGAAGGCACTCGGTGAATACTATTGGTTGGCAAGATAGATTAGAGTGACTGACAAACCTCTGGAATTCAAGTCAGATTTTTATTTTAGTCCTTGTGCTTCACAATTTAGGGAAAGTTTCTTAGTCTTTCTGGGCCTCAGTTTTATAGAACCATAAAATTTAGTTAGAAGGTACCTTACATATTATCCACGGCAACCCTGTCATTTTATAGATGAAGAAGCTGAAAACCAGAAAGGGTAGTGACTTACCCAGACACAAAGCTTCATAAATAGAAGAGCCAGAGCCCAGGTCTCTCAGTGACCAACCCAACCACTAAGGTATCTCCCCATATCCAGAAAATGGGTATGAAGGATAAGGTGATCTTTAAGCTTCCCTCCAGCTTTGAAAGTCTGATGCACATACACAGTCAAGTTTTTACCCTTCAATGAAATTAAATACAAAACTGGGATAATTTCCAAGCACTGAACCACTGCATCCCACTGGATCTTGCTATGTACTTCAACAGCTTAGACAGTCATTCAAGAGATAGAAAATTCAGAGCTTTGGGCTCCAGGGTCATCTAAGAAGCAAAACTAGGTGGAGAAAGCAAAGGAAAGAGACTTGGATGACCCTTCTACCTGGTCACAGCAGCAATATTCCCTGTGAGCTTCTATGCGAGGACACTGCTCTGGGTGCCCTGGAGCAGCTGCCCTCAGGGGATTTGGAATCCAGGTCACGCACAGTTAAATAGCAGTAGAGGAGGGGGTATGAAACATTCAACAGAAGAAATGTCACAAGGCAAACTGGCTGTAATAATAATAACAGCTTCCATTTATTGCTCAACTGCAGTGTGTGCCCCACACTGTGATAGGTATTTATTTTATAGGCTTGATCTCATTAAATCCTCACGACAAGCATGTGGGATTACTGCAGGTCACACAGCTGGTAAGTGGTGATTAATTGTCGGAGGAGGGGTGTGAAGAACATAAATTATGGAGCAGTTCAGAAGGAGAGAAGCCTGTGGGTGGAGGGGCCTGGGAAGGCTCTGCGGGGGAGGAGAGAGTTAACTAGATCTGAGGATGGGCAGGACTTGTGGAAGCAGACAAAGAAGGCAAGGGAGTGCAGGTGGCAAAGGCAACACAGGTACACGGAACACTGAGTCAACAAATTCCCAGGCAAAGCAGGGGAGCAGTTGAATCCCAAGGCAAACCTCTAGGTTGTGAGGTTGCAGGGCCAGGGCGTGGTGGAGGGGAGCAACACTCCCAAGATCATTCTCGAAGAAGGGGTACAAGTCAACTGAAGTCCTGTAGCTCATACATGGCCTACTGCGAAAGGAAAGAGGGAAGAAAATGACTGAAAAACTCTAAAGGCAATTTGTGTCACATGCCTTACAAAAAAAGGAATCTCACTTCTAGGGTTTAAATTAGAGAAAAGTTCAGAGACGGAATGAAAACTGAAAACAAATGTCTACTAATAGGGGAATTGTTGAATATATTATGGTACGTATATATGATTAAATGTTATGTAGCGTTTATAGAATATACTTTTGAAGAACATGTGATAATATCGCATAATGTCAAGTAAAGAAGCAAAATGAAAACCGTAGTACAAAAAGTCCTTTTTTAAATTATCTACATGTTGTATAACTTCCTGTGTGTGTGTGTGTGTGTGTGTGTGTGTGTGTGTATACACACTCACACAGGAAAAAAACTGGAAGGAAAGACACTCAGCATATTTACTGTGACTATCATCACAGGGTGGGAATATGGGCAATTTAATTTTTTCTTTAGGCCATTTACCAAGTTTTGTTCAGTGAGTGCACACTTTTATAGTCATAAAAGTGCTCACTTTTAATGTTTTTAAAATTTAAAATCCCCATACTCTGCCATGAAACACTATTATGGACATCTCGCTTTGTCTTTAAAGATAATTCATTATCTCTTCCTCCAGTGTGCAGACACAAATATTCTGACCAAATGATTGTTCAGTAATTGCTGCATCCATAGATTCCTTCTGCAAGTTCATTTAAACCTAATTGTCCTCGGTTCCCATGTAAAGCTCCCAGCCCCACGGCTCCCACTGCACTGCAAACACTAAAGCCTCCCATTAATGGTCTCTGTAGCTATTTAGATCAATTGTCTTCCCCAGAGCCATAAATCCTAAATGAACGACACACTTATTTCAGGGGACAGGCACCAAAGCCTCTTTCAAACTCGATGATTTATGTATCTGTGGCTTGCAGAATGTCAGGGGTTCTTCATCAATATCCACGGGGCCTTCCCAGGTATAGGAGCCTACCACATCTGATGGAAAGACATTACTATATTTGGGTCAATAGCTTTCACCTTTATCCTTCCTGCTTGGTTTGGTTTGGGGGTTTATTTATTTTTCTTCCTTCCACTGAAATAGTTGGGATATTAGCTGAGTAAGAGAAGCAGTGCATTAAATATAACTTGATCAGAATCCCAGCCTGTCTTTGCCCTCACTGCTATAGGGGCAACATAAAGGTTAATAACTGAGAGAGGCCCCCACGCACTTAACCACAGTGCAGCACCCCATCACCAAGTGACAATTAGGAACCCGCCATGAATGCCAATGACCAGTGATCAAACAGAGCTTCACCCAAACCAGGCAGACCTCTGCATTAGCTCAGCTCTCCATTCATCACGGAGCTGACAGCCTGCAGAGCTCCACGTTGAGCATGCAGCTCAGTCTCTCTGTTTTATCCAGTGAAATGATCTATGCTACTAGGAGTGGGAGAGGAGCAGGAGAGGGAATGAAGGAAATGAAATAGGCTTGTCGTTGGCATGGTTGGGCAACAGCTCAAAGTGTCTGTTTGAGACTTGGAGAGCAATATCGCATAATGATCATGCTTGTTCCTCCTTGCAACTTTCTGGCTCTCAGACAAGGATGGCCCTACCTCACAGAGTTGAGTTCTCTTTTGGGAGGCAGCGTGACAAATTGGAGCAAGCACATAGCCAGCTATGAGATTTTGGACAAGTCACTCTGGGCCTGTTTTCTCATCCATAGAATGAAGGGGTTAGATGAGAACAGTGGTTTCCAAACTGGGTTCCTCAGGGTGTTAAGGTTGCATAGAGGTGCCTCAGATCCTCCAAGGGCATGCTTCTTGCAAGGGCAGGGAAGTGGGGAGGTTAGTGAACTCTAGTTACAACTGCTCCATGAAAGCTCACTGAATTTTATTTGTAAACTACTTACAAATTGTGCAGAACATATTCTTGCACACTGATTTCATTTGATCCTCACAATTTGCTGTGTAACACACCACCCAAAAATCTTATAGCATAAGACAACTACGTTATTATGTCCATGGGTTCTTTGGGTCAGGATTAAGATGGACACAACAGGAAATGCGTTTTTGCTGCTCCATAATGTCTGAGACCTCAGCTGGTAAAACCCAAAAGCTGGGGGTGACGCAATAGCCAGGGGCTAGACTCACCTGGATGTGTCTTCACTTACATATCTGTCTGCTGGGACATCAGATGAGCTCTTGACTGGAACACCTACACATGGCCTTTCTCTGTGGTCTCACCACATGGGCTAGTCTGGGCTTCCTCACACCATGGCGGCTGAATTCCAAAAGCTGGTGTCCCAAGAGCAAGACAGAATTGCATTGCATTTTCATAATCTAAACTTAGAAGTCACACAGTGTTGCTTCTGCCATATCCTATTGGCCGAGGCAGTCCCAAAGTTTCACCCAGGATTACGGGAAAGGACAGGTAGGAGAAGAATCAAAGCCACAGCTTAAGAAGAGTGTGTGGAATAGGAGATAGTGTTGTGACCATCTTTGGAAAATAAAATCTGCCAAGTCCTCTTCACTTGAAAGATGAGGAAACAGACAGAGGAGAATTGGTACACATCTACTATGAGCAGAGCTGAGGCTAGAAACAATTCCTTCATATTTGAGTTTCTTATTTACTATGACGCATTGGCTCTTCATTTCACCTTTCTGAGTTAACTCTCTATTAATTTAGTGAATTGACTATTCAAACATGAATCCTCATCATGGTAGTGCATGATCAGCCCAGGAGAACAATATCTTCTCGTGAATGGAACATTTTGATCTCATCTGTTCTCAGAAAATTGGAGTGGAACATGTATACAAATTTCATTAAAATTAAGGTAAAAGGCAAGGCTATTCGTGTCTCTTTCTAGCCTCCAGCCCAGCATCAGGAACATAATTGGTACTTAATAAAGACTAGATTTTTTATGAATCAACATTTGATTTTAAATTCTTTAGAAAGTCAAAGCCACATAAACAATTCTTTAAGGTTGCTTTGATGCTTTGATGGTTTCTACTTGGAGTTTACTTCTATTTTCATTCATTCTCACAACACCTGAGTGTATTTATTTCCAATTTACCAACAACAATAACAAAAATGAAAGCTGAGAGACCACAAGAGAGCCCAGGCCACAAGGTGGAGTCTGAGAAGAGCTGGACTTTGGGGGAAGTTGTGAAGTAGAAAAGTTTTTCACAGATCCAGCAGCCATCCATCGGGAAGTGACAAGGCCTGGTCCTGTGTTTGGCATGGAATCCAGAGACAAGGTAATGACCGTCCCTGCTGTTGGGAGCCTCACAGTCTAGAGGAGAAGATAGCCAATACAGTCAGCGAAAGAGAACCTGAACAAAATCCTGATGGAAGCAGCAATGGGCACTGCCCGGGAGACTGGACGGCTTAGCAGAGGACATAACATTTAATCTGGACATGAGGGAGAGGTAAGAGCTGTCCAGGCAGAGGCGGTGAGGTGGGAAAAAAAGTCCTGACACAGGGAGATGCAGAGACATGAAAGGACATGACATGTCTTGGGGAAGGTAGACACATGGTCAGTGTTGGAGTGTGGGAGGGAAGGGTGGGCAGACAAGCAGGGGAGGAGGCTGGAGTAAGTTGAAATCAGACTGCAGAGAAGTACCAGTAGCATCCCTAGCTACCCCCTCTCTGTGAACATTTTCTTCCTCATAGTCCCACCTTACCCCACTTCTGAGGCCTTGCTCTCCACCTCTCCACTTACTGTGGAAAGTGGCTATTATCAGTCATTTACACTATAGTGTAAATGAAATTATCTATTGCCTATAAACTAATGTGTTCTTTCTTAGAGCTTTTTTTTAATCAGAAATTTTATTTCCATTGGCAAAACAAAAGGCTGTGTTTCCCTTTGAAAAAATGTTGTGAAGATTATTCCTACGGCCAGTGAAATCCCAACCCATAGGGAGAGTCTTGTGGGAAACATCAACCACTCTGCAGCAGAGACAGAATTCTGGGCTGAATTAATCGTTTGTCCAACTCAATGTGCCTGTACTATCCCTGATCAGAGCCTTGGTCTCTGGATAAGATCTTAATTATCCTAAGAGCTGCTACCCACTGCTCCCAATAAAATTCAATACACATCTCATAATAATCAACCTGCAGAACCTGCACAACTCTTACCTTTCACATCGGCGAGCCAGACTCCTTGGCATGGGGCAGAATGTAAAGGTTAACAACCTCATGGCTTACTACCTATAAAAACTCCTTTATGAGTGTCTAAGTAACAGGCGAATTGTCCAGGGCCTACAGCTAGTGTGATAATTCCAGCTCCTCCTGGCTGAATGGGATGAGTGTTGATTCTCCGTGTGGGAGCATTTGGGTCACAGTGATGTTCAGGAAAAGCCAGACTTCCTGACACCCTTGAAGTCTACCTGACCTGGTATTCGAAGGTGGAAACTGGCTGATCATTAAATTCTCTTCTTGTTGATTTTTCTCAGTTACTCTTCTAACCCCTTATTCCTGCCATTTCTCACTGCCTGACCACATAGATGGCCTCTTGACTCTTGTCTCACTTCCTGAGCTCTGGTTTCCTGACCTCCCACCATGCTGACTGGCTTTGCTTCATGCCTTGCTGTCCTCTGACTGTTGCCAAGGCCACTGTGTACCCTCCTATGTGTACAACTCTACCCAATCCCTCGTCAAGTATTATTACCCCAGGGGATTGACACTGAGCCAGCCACGCTGTGGCTACCACTTCTGTTCCTCTGATGTGGTCCCTGGGCCAGGGAGGAGGTTTTTGTCTTATTCCCCTGTGTCCTCGCCTTTGCCTGTGCCACAGTGGCCCAAATCTCCAGGTCTATGTCTTTTCCTTTTGCCTGAACCCCTGCCCTGCCTCATTCCTTTCTAAATGTTCCAGTTGTTTCCTTCATAATGGAGGCCTTGTCTTGCCCTCATTGTGCTCCCAGGGGCTGGAGTCCAGTGGGAAACCGGGTCCTCAGATCCCCAGTCTCCTTGTTGTCAGGCTCAGCTAATGTCAGGCTATGGCTGCTGTGCCACCTTGGAGATCTTGACTTCCAATCTGGGCTGTGACCTCTTACCTGTTTATCTCATCTCTAGGCACTGTACTTTCTTTCCTTGCGCGGACTTCCTGCTACTGTCTGTTGCTGGGTCTGCTCAGAAACCTGCCATCTCTCTCTCTCTCATTGATTAATGCCAGCATAGGCCAACTGCTGTGACAAACAACCCCAAATCTCAGTAGCTTAACACAATAATAGGTTTCTTTCTTTCTTTCTTTTTTTTTTTGAGACATAGTCTCGCTTTGTTGTCCAGGCTAGAGTGAATGCCGTGGGTCAGCCTAGCTCACAGCAATCTCAAACTCCTGGGCTCAAGCAATCCTGCTGCCTCAGCCTCCTGAGTAGCTGGGACTACAGGCATGCACCACCATGCCTGGCTAATTTTTTCTATATATCTTAATTGGCCAATTAATTTCTTTCTATTTATAGTAGAGACGGGGTCTCGCTCTTGCTCAGGCTGGTTTCGAACTCCTGACCTCGAGCAATCTGCCGCCTCGGCCTCCCAGAGTGCTAGGATTACAGGTATGAGCCACCACGCCTGGCCTATTTCTCACATCAGTTCAAGTGTTTGATAATCTACCACATGGTGATTCAGGGACCCCCTCCTCCCATCCAGGAGGCCTCTCAGTCTTTTAGGACCTTGGAATCCTTAATTTCTTCCTTTGTATCCAGCCAGCCAGTAGATGGGGAAGGCAAGATAGCAAAGGATATCTCAGGAGATTTTTAGGGACCTGCCAAACAGTGTTGTTCGTTGTGGTGCCCTCATCCTTGGCCAGAACTAGTACCTGGCCTCACCTAGAAAAAGAAATCAGGCCCTGAGTGCCGGGGGAAAATCAAATGATCTGGTATACAAGTAGCAATGTCTCTGCTACATGGTAGAGGCATCTGTTTTCTAAGCACTACCTCCTCCCATCCGGTCCAGCTCTCCCACCCTAGCTGATCATTGTGCCTAAACCAGGGGTCCTCAAGCGTTTTAAACAGAGGGCCAGTTCACTGTCCCTCAGACCGTTGGAGGGCTGTTGGAGAGTGCGGTGCACATTCCACACATGCGCACTGTGGGCCCGGGACGAGTTGGCTGCTAAGCAGGACAGGCAGCAGCAGCAAAAACACCAGGTGGGCTGGATAAATGTCCTCGGAGGGCCGCATGTGGCCCATAGGCCATAGTTTGAGGACCCCTGGAAACTCTGGAAAGGGATAGACTCCTGAGAAGACATCTCAGAAGTAACAGAAGAAATAGACAGGGTTTTTGCCTTGTCACCACCTGAGCAGAAGGTAGATCCCAGCGGGGAAGGCCCTCTAGGGAGAACCTCAAGCCCTACATAATCTTGCAAACTGGGCTCTTTTTGACAAGTGACAACCTTTCATTTCTTCCAAGAAATATTCTTTTTCCCCTCCTGGAGACTTGTTCACAGAAGAGATACTCAAGTGATAGGTGCTTTGCAAATATCTAGATGGAGAGGGGAAAATGGCATGAAGAAAAATTTAGACAAAACAATGTAGATCACCATGGTAACAATCTTTAGAACACACTGGGGAAAAGGAATCATTGTTAACATGGCTCATATTTTGCAGCGATATCCAATCACTGAATTCAATTTTAGATCCTTCAATCATGCTACTCTCAAAATGCTGGGGTTGTTATGACCACAGCGCATGCTGATTTTCAGGAAGCCCTTCTCTTATCCATCTAATAACCTTTAATGAAGATAATGCTTTAATTAAGGCAACTTACTGTTTCCCTGTTGGTTAATTTGAAATCAGTGAAAGGTCAAGTTACCATTAACACAGTGAGTTTACTAAGCTATTCGAGAAGTATTTTTATTCTGACAGCAGAGGCTTATGAGAATATGGCAAAAATACATATTTAGTTGAAATGTGCACAAGGAAAATAGGAAGTTTGTCTTTTGTATGGCATGGTGAGAAAAAGAAAAACCATTCTTAATTATTCAAAAGCAGTTTTTCGTGGACTTTGCTCTCCTAACATAGGTGAAAAAATCTACAGGTGTGGATGACTCTTGGTCAATAATAATGATTCAATATGGCTGTTTACACAAAACCTCTGGGAGTTGCTAATGAACAGTTTGTTCCAGTGGCTTCTAAAGAAATGGCAGAAGAGAGACGGTGACTCTTGCAAATGAAGAGATGGAGGGTCATCACAGTTCAGGTGCTGGACCTCACCCTTGCAGGCCCAGAAATGTGGTGTCTGCCCATGGTTACCTGCACCCCTAGTTTCACAGGGCTTCATTCCTGCTCATTCTCCAGGT